GATTTCTTGTAGTATTTTTTCGGCCGATTGCGTGAAAAACATCTCTTTATTGTTGAGCCAATGCATCACAAAACTGGGTTTAGTTGTACTGTCGGCGCCGTTAGGATTGGTCGACAGACTCGGCACTAATGGAATGTCTGTCTCGGCGTTAATGCTGGCCGTGAGATGAAAGTGCAGCCCCGGAGCCATCGCTGTCCCGTATATACCGAAGCTGTGAAAGTCGTGAACACTGAAAGTGCTCGGAAGTGTGGGAATGGGACCGCCGTTCAAGTGATTCTCATCGATAGTCACTTGTTGTCTCTTTTTGAATTGACTCAACGATTTCATTTGTTTCAGTCGTTGCATAATCTTCTGGCGATGTCTTTGGGTCTGCGCTCTCGGAACCACATAATTGGAAAGGCCTTCGATTTGACTCAAATTCACTAAACCGTCTTCGGGTAGAAGTGTCTGAACCCATAGGCGGCAGATATTGTCGCGACACGACGTGACCAGCATATTGGCCACTGACCCGCGCGGTAAATATTTACTGATCTTACGCCACGAGATACCAATGACGGCTCGCGGATGGGCTATATATATGAAGGAGAAGTCAATGGAACCGTTGGTATTTGTCGATTGCTCGGTGTTGTGGTGTCCGCTATTGTCGTGAACCCTTTCCAACAATGTCTTCGCAATGGGATTATTTTTGGCGGCGCTTTCGTACCATATTTTGACCAAACGATCCGATTTGCCGGCGGAGACAAAGAGTACGCCATCGGGAGAGAACTGAAGGAAATGCACGGGCGTTGAAGTAGTGCACTGCCAGACACACTGCCACTGAGCGATCGCTTCCCTATCGATATTATCGTCGGTATTATTGGTCTCGCATTTAGTTTGCTTCTCATCCGGATCTGTGGCGCTCTGAACGCTCATCAAATGCCACAATTGTATGGTCTGACCGCCGGTCAAGAGTTTAGTTCCTTCGAGATTCCATGAGATGACACTCACGGGAGAGTCGGTCTCAACGCAAGACGTTTGGATCCATTTGTAGTCGAGTTTGTGAGCGGACACCTGCTGTAAGAGTGGCGTCGGCTCGAAGATACAGATCTTGGGTCCATAAGCGGCACCGATTTTGCCCACATCTGTCGCGCAGTCGATACAATTCACTTGAATATTGCCGTAAAGAATGCCAGCGATTATCTGCACTCTCTTCAGACCCGACGACTGTATAACGACATTACATCCGGAACTGTAGGCCACGAATGGTATGCCCTCAACAGAGCCCACACTATAACAATTGTCGCCCGAATTGACGGCTCCGGTCAGCACCTGATGACAGTTCATCCTCCGATCCGATACCTCTTCTGGCCGTCGATTCGGCACTTAATTCATAGCAATGTCTCAATTAGTGATCAATTGGTGGCCGAGAATGCGATATCAAAGCACCGATAGTTAACATTTGGTGGACATTAGCGCCGATTTTGGGGACAAATATATCTGACAAATAGATGTAAACAATTATTTTCATGAATCCATTCATTCATTTCAATCACATTTCAATACAACAAAAATTATAAACAAATATTTACTCACAATTCCTGTGCATTAATTGTACGCCAATTGCAATGAATGACAAAACAATTAATTCATAATTAATTAATTTAAAAAATTTTGTGTAATAAATGACAAGTTTTTTAAAGAGATAATCAAAACAAATCCGAAACACAAACTCAATGTTTTGATCAATTCATCGCTCATTCAGTGTTTGCTTTGCCATACAATATGTGCTCTAATAGTACAACACAGACAACACTCTGTCTCTAAAGCATAGCATAGCTTCTCAATGCACAACCACTGGCCCTCTCTCTCTCCCTCTCTCTCCCTAAACACCCCTCTATTTACCGCCCCTTTTATAACAGTATAATCACAACTAATTTTAATTGAATAATCATTTTTACCATAAATAATTGATTTATGACATGATATGATTGCAAATAATGATCCAATACTTGTCGAGCCTTCAGTGCTAGCCTTATGTCATATACACAACATGTATATCATGTATATTCTGTAATATTATTCCGTTATACAGGTATATAAGAATAGCAACTATTTATGATGTTTTTATGGCTATAACTAATCAATCAGTTGTTATGATATACTATAGTGAATAGCAAATTGTTCAAATAAAACCTTTGCCACCAATACCTGCGCGCATATAAATATAAGAATAGCAACTATTTATGATGTTTTTATGGCTATAACTAATCAATCAGTTGTTATGATATACTATAGTGAATAGCAAATTGTTCAAATAAAACCTTTGCCACCAATACCTGCGCGCATATAACAGTAAATGTACCTGGTATTGGTATTACATGTGCACATATTTTAATTGCTTCGCTAATTAATGGCATGAATTTTATTTACACAGTATTATACGCACTATTGACAAGAAAATATGTCATTTTCATGTAATTAGTGTGAAGTTTAGTATCAAAGTTAACATTAAGTCTGATATTTGTATGCAAATCGCTAGTAAATATACTGTAGTAAATATACATGTATGTTATATTCACTTCTATTTGAGGCTATCATTATATTCCACTATTAGATACAAGAATATACTGCACATAATGTATAAGAATTCATTCATATAATTGTGTAATCAATATGTAATGTATATGTCTATCAATTTTACCATCATATTCGTGAGACAGAACGTTCTATATAAAACCATTCAACGATCGACCTCATTTAATTGTATTTTAATCAAATTCATTTATAAACAAGGATCAAACAGCGATGCTATACGTTAACCACAATTCGGGTGATGCCCAAAGAATAGAATAGCATAAACAGATTTAATATGAGTCCAATAGACTTGCCATAGATTTAGCATTGTTCATAGGATTAGTATTGTCCCATAGATATAACATTGCCCATAGACTTAGCATTACCCATGTTAAAGTATAGCCATAGACTTATGCTGTAATCCGCAGCTGGAATCTCATGTTAAATTCCATAGGGTGGGGCCCGGGGAGGGGTAGCCGAACGATCCTATAAAACACATTATTCATAGCTGAATTGTGGTTAAATATATTTTTAATTACAATTCAACTATGAATACAGTGAACTTTCCATATAGTAAAGCTCTATACAGTGTATTTTCCATATAGTGTACAAATTATTTTAGTTTGGCGGACACTGTATACTTGTAATGTTATTTCCGCTCCATATAGTGACTCTCTATACAGTGTAAATTCTATATAGTGGCCAAAATTTTGCTATTTTTGGCTATATTTGACTATTTTTACGCTCTTCATAGTGTTTTATGGTATGAGACAACAATTTTTAGTCTTGCAATTATTTGAAATGATGAAGTTTTATTTAAATTGATAAACAGATATGAAATTATTATCTCGAAACATTAAACAATCTCAATAAATGATTATTTTAGTATTAACAATATCATAATACTAATAAACAAGACATTTGCTTTAATATGGGAGTGTATGAGACTTTGAGAGTGATTTTTTTGGGGATACGCACAAACACTGTGACACTACACATCACAACCACACTATTACACTAACAAAGCTATAATTCAATTCCTAAAAAACGTTACGATTAACGATTCGAACTACGATAGCATTATAGGGGAGTAGAAGGAGAGGGGGTGGGTGTGGCTAACAGTGTTTGTCCTGTACGGGCTGTAATCGTATAAACTAATTGTCACTACTATTACACACATATCGCGGGCGGAAATCTGGTGGAAATTCCCAATGATCTCAACGACTAGTTTTAGTTCACATTTGATATAATTTCTATAAACGTTTAGTCATTTTATTGTTTCACTGAATTTTAGCGATTAATCTGTTTTTATCATTTCTAATGTCTTATCATTGAGATTATCAGCTTTCAGATAATCTCCTACATCTGTAATCCGCATTGTTTTCAAGGGAACTGAAAAGCCTAATGCCAATCAGTTCTCCCCCAAACCTCGTTGTAATAACATTAAAGTATTTTTCAATAAATTAGTTTTGCTTAAGGCATCAAAACCTATGTGTAGTTTTGCTGCCCCCCTCTTGGGCCGGTGACGCCGCCGGTCAGGGAGACAATACTCTTGGGTCACACCAGTGGTGATCAGGGAGACAATAACTCTTGGATCACACCAGTGGTGATCAGGGAGACCACACTTCTCTTGGTTTGCAAGTCGCAAACAGGGAGACAACACGAGAACTCAAACAGTTAAGTAACCGTCGTTCGCAGTCAGCGCTCAAAACTGCCACCCAATCACACCACTCGCGGGAAACAACACTGAGCTACACCAACCCCGATAAGCCCCCGCGATACACACACATTCTGTAGAGTGAACATTCTATACAGTGTCCAAAAATTTATACCAACTGCTCGACCACTATATGGAAAGTTCACTGTAATATGGTTTATAGGATCGTTCTGCCGGCTCCTTCCAACCGAATTATGGTTAACGTATAGCATCGCTGTGTGAGTTGTTTATAATGAACATTTTAAACCGTCATATTACGTTAATTTGATCAATAAAAATAATTATTTTCATTGAAGTGCCCATTAACAAACATGTTAATTAAATATAACGTTAAATTTTATTAAATTAAAAAAGCACTAAATTTAATCACTACAAGAATTTCACCAATGTAATATTCCAAGTACTGTATAAATGATAGTTATCACTATACTGTACATAGTGAACCTTTCTCAGACACCTTTCTAAATAACACTTATGTATTTTGCCTAAATGTCTAATTGTAAGGATTAAATAAACAACCCCTCCCTCTGTAATATAAATAATATATCAATATTTACTTGAACATCTAGCCATTAGACATTTAGGCAAAATACATAAGTGTTATTTAGAAAGGTGTCTGAGAAAGGTTCAGAATGTATAGTTATCACATTGTATCTAGATTCTAGATACAACATTTATTCATTTATTCTGAACCACACATAAAAGGGGGCAAAAAGTAAATACAGAATATATGCGGACGTAATTGACGTACAAATGCGGAAAAGCATTGATTTTTGCAGTTTATGTGCTTTGAAGTGAGGGGTCGTTCAGTTATACGTGGAAACGGAAGTCAACACTGCTTTACATAGCGTTCACTCAATACAGGCATAGAGTGTATGCATTGCTTTGCAATCAACTATCGGTCCCTTTAGTCGTGAACTGCAAAAATGGTGAGTACTTTGACTGCAATTAAATCAATTTAATCGCTATTTAAACACAATTAACGCTAATTATGTCCATTGAATGGATGTCTAGGGTATTGACATTAACCATAAGAACGACCGCAAAGTGCGGCGAACGGCGCCGAAGAGCAAAGATCCCTATTTGTTGCTTTTGGTTCGCGTATGTATTGTAACACGTGTTGCCATTCAATGCAATTGTATTAATCACTGTTTTCAATGACCAGTTGTACCGATTCCTCGCCCGAAGGACTGGACAGAAGTTCAACAAAATCGTATTGAAGCGACTCTTTATGAGTAAAATAAATCGTCCGCCGATTTCTCTCAACCGATTGGTCAGTATTTATATGTATAGCAAAATGCGGTCAAAACCGGTGGTTAGCCGTGAAGTGTGTCAATCGGTGTGTATTAACGCTTGTTTTGATTGTTTGAATGTCTAGAAAATCCAAATGAGTTCAGCCGATAGGGCGGGAAAGATAGCGGTAGTGGTCGGAGCCATCACTGATGACGTGCGCATGTATTCGGTGCCCAAACTCACTGTATGTGCTCTTCGTATGACTCGCAGTGCGAGGGCTCGCATACTGAAGGCCGGCGGAGAAGTGTTGACATTCGACGAGTTGGCCGTCCGGTCGCCCAGAGGTGAGAACACTGTCCTCCTTCAGGGCCCGCGTAACGCTCGCGAGGCGTGCAAACACTTCGGCCGCGCGCCCGGTGTGCCCCACAGCCACACCAAACCCTATGTCCGCTCGAAGGGCCGCAAGTTTGAGAGAGCCAGAGGTCGTCGCGCCAGTCGTGGATACAAGAACTGATCGCACGGTTTATAAGTTAATAATTGAATGTTTGAAATAAAGCCGATTCGTAAAAAAAACTTGTTTTGTGTCTTATTTTTTGTATACATGTCCTACAGTTTGATAGCAGTTATTGTGTAAAAGTATTATATAATTGTAAAATTTGGTAAAATATAGATTAGAAAATATTGTAAATTTTGGGATCAATTGTTGTGATCAATGAAGTAATCGTTTTGCTGATAGGCATAGCCAGTAGTGGTTTGTGTTTGAGTGCGGATACCATTAATAAAGGCGGTCTCCTGTTCGAGGAGTGCCGCGTCCTGTTGGCCAGTGATCTGCCAAATAAGTAGCGCCCGATCCGTGTCCGGCACTCCTGACCATTGGTTTGGGGCGTAAAATGGCGTCAGGTTTGTAAAGTCTGGGATCGAGTTTTTGGTCATTCCCGTCATTCTTACTGTAAAATAGAAATTTTAATTGTTTTCAAACAATTGTAATGTTTTATATAATTGTTGACCTCTATTGAGTCCAGAGGAGCACAAATTGCAAACATAGTTGTCTTTAGTCTCTTTTATATAATCCAATTCCTGTTGAACTTTCACTTTTAATTTATTGAGTTTCTCCTCTTCTTCTCTCAATTTAGTGAAACTATTTTCAATGAATTTGAGTTTGGAGTCCAACTCAATGCGGAACTTCTCCGCCTCATCCATAGCCATATGTCCCTCTCGTTTCTCATGCAATGCTATTTCGCCCAAACTTTCGAGTTCTTCGGCTCGTTTGGCGATCTCTTGAGCCAATTCTTGCATTTTAACCTTTTCCATATCAAACATGAGTTTCCTCTGTTCCAGAGAGTGCTGTTCGCTCTGTAATGATATCCTCATTTGATGTATAGCTGACTCTTCTTTGTGTAAAGTATTTCTCTTTTCTTCAATATCTCTAAACAATAACTTTATTTCGTTTCTCTCTTTATTGAGATTCTGTTGTGAATCCAATTCTTTTATGTTCTGTTCGTTTCTTCTCATCTCTAAGTTCGTGAACTCCTCTTTCGCTTTGAGTCTATCTTCAGCTAATAAATCGTTTTCTTTTCTCATATTATCTCTCAATCGATTGCATTCGGCATCAAAGGTGAGCCTCTCTTCGGTCAACTTTTTTCTATCCCTTTCTAACTCCAGGCGCTCTTCAAAGTGTCTCTTTTGTTCGCTTTGTATTAATTGTTTTTGCTGTTCAATAGTATCGTATAGTTTTTTCTGCTCATCACTGCATCGACTTCTCTCCACTTCCAACTCGTTGACCAACGAATGCCAGTTCACCTCAACCTCATCCAGACGTTTGTTCTTCACCTCAATGTCAGTGAATTTGTTCTTAAGAATGTCCTCTTGTTTTGAGATCACATTTTTATGCAACTCTTCGATATGTGCGGCGCTTTTCTCCCACTTTGATAGTAGGCTCTCCAGTGAGAGGCCGTGATTTTGGAGGGCATTCACGGACTCTATTTCGTGTTCTTTGATTTTTCTGATCCGAGACAAGTCGTGTTCGTGTTCTTCGGACAGCTTTTGGGTGACACTGGAGTGCATTGCTTTCAATCTCTCCACTTCTCGCTGCCATTCGCTCTCCAAGTGTTCAACTCTGTCGCCATGTCTTCCACGCATTTCCTCCATGTCTTTCTCGCTCTGACTTAACTGTGACTTTAAATCATTGATTCTTCGATCCCTTTCTTCTTGAATCCTATGATTGTTTTTTCAATAAAACAATTTATGTATAAATTTTGTCTACATTTATAGTAAACATCATATTTCAAAATTTATACATTTGTCATAATTTATACGACAAACAATTTGAGATGAAATTCAATATGTGAAAGGATTTTCGGAATATTATTTGAGCTCTAATTCTGACAACACATGTATTATTATGTGAGTTATAACGAAGCAATTCCTTTGGGAAATGATTTAATTCTTGTTATACTAATTAACTTTTTTTTAATAATAACTAATTCTTATCAACACATGACAACCATTACTGGTTTGTACAGATATTTTGATTAATAATATCTGTTATTATTATTTTCATATCTATTATTATGAATGAATGATTATTCTATAATTTATATCATATAAATTTATTTGACCATATTGGAAAATTATGACTTATTGTGAACATTGTTACTGTATATCATTTATATTCCTTTTCACAATTGAAAATAAAATGCTAAACCTTTCCAACTATTTTAATATAACAACTAATAAATGATATTCTTATTGAACTCGATATAAATTTTGATTTAAATAAGAATTACTAAATGATTTGAATTATGGTAAGATCATGTTAAATTATGAGAATGTATTTCTAAATTTATCAATACTTACATATCTTCGTGTCTTTTATACATATCTGAAGTCATTTTCATTTGTTGTCTAATTTGATAATAAAATTAATTGTGATTAGAATTTAAATTATATATAAAATTATTGCATATTAATAAACACCAACAAAACACAGTTGCTTAAATTTTTAACTTAATATTCATTATTCAAATAATGTGTTTATTTTCCAAATATGTTGAGAAATATTTTTAAGGACTTCTTTCTTAAGTGTATTATTGTTTAAGATTCTGTTATGTATTTTAAAATAATTCGCAAACATAAACACATCAAACAATTTACATCATGTAAAGCACTAAATTTTGCACATAATTGTTAAGTGTAAAAAATTGCTTTTAATACACAGTGAAAAAGTTATTACCAAAACATACTATAAAACACGTCTATTAGAATAAATTGAGTCAATTTAGGCTTAAAAATCCATAACAAATAAGTTTGGAGTTT